TATATATATATATATATATATATATATATATATATATATATAATCCAAAGATTTTCTCATCATAGAATTCTTTATGCATTAGTTGTTAAATTATGTGTTCTTATCTAATTAAATAAAATATATTATAAATCTAATTAGATTTTAACGACGGTTATCGATAAATAAAAGGAAAGTTCAATTATAATAGAATTCTTTAAGAGATGATGTTGATGAGAGGAACTCTTCTAATTATTTATCGACTCTCTACTCTCTTTTATGATTTTCAGATCCAAAAATAATGTTTCTATAGATTAAATAAAGATTTTGTTTTTATGTCATCGAAAGGTCTGTATCATAAATCTATTCTATTATTATTTTTATTTCATTTATGATATTAAAAATTTTTCATGTAACATTAACATATGATTTTTTTTATTATGCTTAGTCTCTTGATATAGAGCTAAAAGAAGAAAAAAAAATTACAAATGAAAGAGTTGATACTTCCGTCACTCAAGATTAGTCAAATCAATTGTGCGAGAAATATCGTTTCATAATTTCATTTAGGGTGGTTAAAATCTTCCTAATTTTTATTATTTTCTTTGGTAAGAAAAACCACTCAAATGTTACCTTACCCGACAAAAATTGATTTTTCTTTAATTGGAAGTATTTGGCAAGTAAAATAATTTATCATGGATTTGATTCTTTTGAGAGACGGAGTTAGTAGTGTTTCTTTTAATGAATCAGATCATGGAGTAGATGTGGCTCAAACTCATGTTGACATATAAACCAAACCCACAAAGCTCTATCGAGTTTGAGCACATGGCATAGCATGCATGATGAGGTAGTAGGAAGGCATGCGCATATTATTATTCCTGCAATATTAGTTGTTGTTGGTTGTATGATGACTGAGTTCTCATTTGTCTTTACTAAGCATTGGATCATCCATCATCCCCACCTCTCTAACATCACTGCATGAAAAGAATCGATGAGAAATAAACATGCAATTATTGGATTTGGCTGTGTTGACATGACGCCAAACTCTGGATGTCGAGAAGATTCAAAGGAATAATTGAACTAAAAGAATATACACAATCGCCCCCCATCAAACAAAATATAAATTTTTTTAATACGACAATCATAATATATTACTATTACACAAAAAAAATTAATATCAAACTTAAAATTAAATAATAATATATTATATTTATGATGCATATTTTTTAAAACTATCTAGAAAATTATTTGAACGGTAAGGATGTCATATCTGAAAATCATAATAATATCGATTTATAAGAGGATTTTTTATTTTTTTTCCTATCCTTAGACTATGATTTAGAGATATAAAGATAAGAGAGATTCTATAGTATCCTGTATATTTATAGGTGATAAATAAATAAAGGATATAATGAGTAATCAAGATAATCCTTTAAAACCATCTCGTAAGAAGTTCTATTATAATTAAAATTTCTTTCTATTGATCGATAACAGAATCTATTTAGTTCTATAATATATCTTACCTAATTAAATAAGATCATATAATCTAATAATTTAAATATTCAAAATAAAAAAATATTATAAATTAAATTTTTTTGAATCTCGTAAGAATATTTATTGATTGTCTTTTTTATTTATGCTTATATCGTATACTAGTTTCATTCACAAGTCATGACAAATCTACATCAACCTTTTCATCGGATTAAGCCTTTTAACATTATTGATCATCTTTAAGCTTCTTAAAAGTAGTGTAGATGTAAAATGTAAACGGAAAAGGTCAATGATATTATAATTTGTACGGTTGCGAAGATAATATTTTTTAGATTCGAATATAAAGTTGAAGACTTTCTTCGTGTGTGATTAGCATATTAAAACCACTACTTCCACAAAGTGGTAGTAATGGAATGTGATATGATCATCAACAAGGCAGGAGGCCTCTGAGAAAGGTGAATGGGATGTAGCATGAAAAGGAGCAAAAGAAAAAGATAAGAGGAAGAAAAGAAGTAAAGGCTAAAGGAAAGGAAAAGGCGGAAAAACAAAAAAAAAAGAAACTTATGCAAAAGAGATAAAGAATACATCATATGCTCTGAAACCCTAAAAGAATGACTTCAAAAAGGAGCTCCTCCTTACCATTGTAATGATGGATGGATAGCAAAATTATATTCCACCCTTTTAAGCAACTTTTATTATTGGCGCCATTCACAATGTGAGATGTACATTGTTGGCTTCCATGCAGCTCAAAAGGAGAGAGGGAGAGAGAGGACATGATGAAGGTCAAACTATTCACTTCAGAAGCCTATATTTTTTTATGAAGAGTGGATCTCTCTCTCCCTCGTTGTGTATACATTTTACTTACGGATACAGTTTTTGCTATAATGCTTTATATATATATATATCATAATATGAGACTAATTATAGATTATTTACTTTAATTAGTTATCTTTAGTATATTAGTTTTTATATTTTTAAAAATTATATTAAGATCCCTAGACTTATGAAAGTGAAACATTTAATACTGTTTCTCCTCATATCGTCAACTATGTTGACAAAAATATCATAATAGGGTTTACTAATGAGTACGCATTGACTTTACCTCACTTCGATTTACCATTGAGTATGTGCAGTATTTTCGTCAACAAAATTAACAATGTAAGGATGAACAAGATTAAATGTTTCACTTTCGTAAGTACATGATCTTAATATAACTCTTGAAAGTATAGAGATTTAATTGCTAAAGATAACTATTTACATGGGATAATGTATAATTAGTCCCGTAATATGAAATTTTAAAAACTATCTTAAAAATTAATATGGTCTATCATGATCGTAAGTCTAACTTAATAAAATTGATTCGATTTATTCTATTTTTAAATTATGTTTTTTTTAAAAAAAATTTTTAATGAGAATAAATAAATATTTTTGACACAAGTAACAAACAAAATACCAACTTATCTTTTTGTAAAAGACAACATATGAGATAGATGGATAATTCTTTGTGATCATATGATCTTTAGAAGAATTTTTTTATTTTTTTTTGAGATATGATAACTCAAAAAACAGGTCAAATCGAATGAATTTCGTTAAATCGATTGGTTAACAACCAAATTTGACCCTATAAAAAAAAAGTGAACTTTTGTCCATGTATTAGAATAAAAAGGAGGATTAAGGAAGTAGACAATGCTAATATTGGTTAGTAATTTAACCTAATCAAACCTTAGATGAATTCTTTTGAGTTTTCTTGTTTCTCATACAGGTAATCATCACACTTATTATATTAGTGGTGGTTAACTATTGTCACTCTCTTTACTTTTGTTTGGTATCATTTACTGTGGAATATTAAGACAGCAAAGCCAGCAGAATCACAAAGTATGCATTTAAATGATTGGGAACGAAGAGAAGCTTCCATGTGAATCAAAACAAAAAACTTGGCATGTTGTGCCAACAACTCTTTGAATTAATCGCCGACGAAAGCAATATGAATTATGAGATGGATGGAGATATGATCATCATCAGTGATGTTCATCCATTGTATGATACAATGATGCAAAACACAACTTTTTTCTTGTTCAAATCATGAATTGGATGCTCATCATCTTCAAAGGATTGAAGTTTATTTTTGTAACATTTTGTACAACATAACTACAAATCTAAATTTAATGTGTAGATCATATTAAGAGCCCTTATGATGATAAAATAACCCTAAGACTATAATTCTTTTTTATAAATAAAAAATTATTTTCATGATTCAAATTTCGATCATACTATAAAGTATATAATATGTTATATCTAGTTAGATTATATTCATAGCATTCATATTACTATAATCATAATATAATCGTATGTACAAGGATAATTACGATGATTCGATCATAAGATATTAAGTCAGTTTATATTTTAAAAAATATATCGAATGAAATTTCAAAAACTTTAACCATTGATTCAAACATGACTCTTTAAATTTGTTGGACTTTCAATTTTCTTTTATTATGAATAAGGATCAGATAGTAGAGTGGTTCAAAAACCTCAGAAAAATCTGGAAGGATCACCAAATCCTTGTCACAAGAAAAATAATTGATTTGTAAGGTAGGACATATGCATCACATCATATGAAAATATAAGTCACCTAATTAAAATAATATCAAGAGAACAACAACATAGGACACCAACACCAACACCAACACCAACACCAACACACAAATTAAAATTAAAACACCAACAAAATTAGCTTTTAACCCTATTTTTTTTTCTTGCTTATTTACATTTAGCTCGTTTACACACACTAAAGCTGAGCTGCAACTACGGCCGCTACAAGAGGACGCCGTGAGATGACCGTCACATGATGGAGCAGGCATTGGGGTTCTCGTCGCTAAACATCTGCGGCGCGTGGACCATCTCGATGCGGTAACCATACCCCGAGTAAGCGGGGTACGGCGCGTAGTATTCCATCTTGTTCGCTTCCGTCGTCGTCGTCGTCGCCGTCGCCGTCGCCGCCGCCGCCGCCGCCGCCTTTCCGTCATCTTTCTTCTCTTCCCCACCTCCGCCGGCCTTCTCCTTCTTCTCTCCTCCGGTTTCGCCGCCCTTTTCCTTCTTCTCGCCTCCTCCGTCGCCGCCCTTCTCCTTCTCTTTCTTCTCGCCGCCGCCGTCGTCCTTCTTGGGCGGTACGATCTCGACGGCGCGCCTCAGCTTGTCCTTGAGCATGGCCGCCAGGTTCTTCACGTCCATGGTGCCCTTGACCGTGACCAGATCCTTCGCGGCGTCCACCGTCACCTCCTCCACACCTGAGGGCAATTCGGTCAATTCTCAGCATCAAACATTATTTAGACCAACTCGGTGGGCAATCTCTGCCGTCAAATGAGGGCCGCCGCCGTCATCCGACGGTCAGAAAAGGGTGGATCACCAACCCACCCGCGAGCGTTAGAATTTGGAGGAACGGATAGAGAGAGCAGCGTCTAATTCTACCTTTAATTTTGTGGATTCGTCGCTTGATTCTTTGAATGCAGCCGTCGCAGTGGAGGCGGATCTTCAGCACGACCGTGGAGACCGCAGGCTGATGGATCTTCGAAGTTAGTGCAAGAAAAGTTTGATCGAACTTAATGTTGAGGTGATCGATGGATGGATTGCTTACTGGTTTGGGCTTCTTGTCGTCGGAGGATTTCTTGGCGTCTTTGCCCTTGTCGTCGGCGTCCTTGTTCTTCTTGGCGTCGCCGCCGTCGTCCTTGGCCTTCTTGGGAGGGTCCTTGGGGGAGATGAAGTCGACCTTCTTCTTGGTCTTGACCTCCAGAAACTCCTTCAGCTTCCATGGGTCCACCTTGCCCACCACTTTCAGCTTGTTGTGCGCCGCGTCCACGCTGACCCCTTCCACCCCTGTGGCACGCGATCGATGAGGTGATCAATGGTCAGTCCTTGCCCCTCAAAGAGCAAACATGATCGATGCTAAGAACCTGGGAGGAATTCCTTCAGGAATCGAAGTTCAAATCGAATGTTTGACGAACCCAAATTGGTAGATTCTACCGAAAAGAACAAAAAAGAATCGGTTTTGCTTCGTAGAAAAGGAAAATTGCGATTACCCTAAATTTTCCTCCACCCTGTTTCCTCATCCAACTTGTGATTCATGCCATCGGGAATTGATGGGCTAAAGTTGGATTAAAAGGCTTCAAAGGTCAAATTTTGGAAAACGAGAACGAAGGTGAACTACACAAACGAGAGGATCGAATCAACGTCAAATCCTAGAACGAAAAAAGAGCGAGCGACAGAGGAGGGGAGGGGAAGAAGGGTAGTACCTTCGAGGCCCTTGACGAGCTTGCGGACCTTGAGGGCGCAGCCCTCGCAGTGCATGTCGAGCTTCACCTCCACGGGCGTCGGTCCCTCCTCCTTCTTCTTCTCCCCTCCTCCTCCCTTTTCCTTCTTCTCATCGGCTCCCTTCTTCTCCCCGTCTCCCTTCTTCTTCTTCTCCTGCCATTAACATCACAAACCAAACCGATTAAGCAACCAAAATCCACATCCAGTAAGCGAGACGCATGAAGCTGATACAAGTAATGGAAGTGCCTCACCTCACCCATTGCGCTTTTCTCCTCTGCTCTCTCTCCCTCCCTCGGGCTCTCACTCTCTATCAGTCTCTCCTCTTCAGGATGGGAGGAGGCAATAGCGGCGTAGGCTGTTCATATATAGAGGGAGGCGAGGGATATTAGTCAGCGGAAGAAGGTGATATCGGATTCGGATCCAAACCTTCTGTTGATCATGGTGGCTTTGATCTATGTTGCCATGCATGCACCATCACCAACGGGCATGCATGGCGATGGATCATGGTTGTGTCATGTGTGGATGTCGGGTTACGTGGATCCAACGAGGAGGGTAGGGTAAGCTGGTACGTGGGCCCGGTAAATTTTGCAGGTCGACGGCCGTCGGGTTTTGACGAGACCCGAAGCGTGCGTGAGGGGCCGGGGGCAGCTTCCGGGAAATCCGATGTCGCACGACACTATCCACGACTCACGGAACGGGGCATGTTGAGTCGGCGCGCATGTGGCCGGAGCCCCAACGTCCTCTCGCCGTCCTTCGTAGTCGCCCTGTCGGACTATCGTGACGTGGATCGTGTTTACCAACCGCGACGGAGCGGCACCCTTCGCGACGGACCTTTGCCGTTGTGTACGGTTGGTGTGCGATTCTTTGGGAGATCAGCTAATGTGGGACCCAGTATGAATTACCAATGATGACACTGGTGGACGAGCGGGGACAACAAAAAGAAACGTAACAGAATAGTATCTGTTCACGGCGACGTGTCGCCGACGCGAAACGAAGTTTCTCGTCACCTCCCTGCGTTATATACAACAAAAGTATCGGATATCCGAAACGCGTTATAAACTATTGTTATGCATCAAAAGAATATATTTCTGCACCAACGGCAATCAAACTCTTCGATCGACTATAATCAATTACTTGCTACATATTTATGCTTCCGATCAGATCATTGCTCTCATGAGTATCGAGCAAACACACATAGAATCAGCCACCTTTGGTCATCTCTTGGAAACATAGAAGATTAGATGTAATAGTTCTGCAATCCCAATTTGAATTCGATAAATTTATGAACCCATATGAAGATTTGTACATGAAATTTCGTGTTTAGTCTCACACCTGTACATATTATACATGCAAAGACTTCTTTTTATGGGTGTCTAAAGCACTGGTCATGTAAATGGCAGGCTTGTTGTGGGCCTTGATAGCCCGGCCCATGCAAACTCCTCATACTATTTATTTATTTATTTTGGAGAAGATATGATGACATATACTTTGAGAACAGTTCATCAATCATAAGATGATATCCAAGGGCTGAGATTAAACAAGTTGGTCGATGGCGAGAATTCCAACACGTTTCTTTACATGTCAAATTCATATCCAAATCACGTAGAATTTTAATTAAAGCAGATAGAAGATCTAAAGGCCGCCATATCGATTTTTCTTTCTTTCTTTTTTTCCGTGAGAGAGTGACAGCAATTAAGGCAGCACCCCCAAATGTTTCTTGATATAGTTCAATGAGCGCAAGCTCAAAATTCGCAGTGGATATAGAGAAAGCAGACGAGAATGCATTGTGATCCTCAAAACCCGTGACTTGGTCTACTTGGTTGTCACTCACAGCTCAGGAAATCTGCAGAAAGAAAACCCTTGTGGTATTGCGGAATCATAAATGACTACCTGAATCTTCAACAGCTGCATCTTCTCCGAAGCTTCTGTTTCAAAGTCTCTCTGTGCATCTGTTTCAGATGCACATAGTCGGTAACTGTAGCATCAGGTCTTCCTCATCAAAGACAATTGTGCCTGCAAGAAAAGGAAAGAAATCAAGAACAAGTCCAGTTTCAGTGTTCCCAAAGTTGGTTCTACTAAACTTTTTTAATTGTTCCTGCTAGAGCTGGAAAACCTGCATTGCTGTTTGACTCTATTTCATGGTTCTTACCCTTTTCTCAGTACAAGGAACAGAGTCGTTGAATCACCGAGAAACATATTGATTAATTGTGATGAAAGAGAAGGTTTGGCACTAGTCTGTTCCTGTGATGGAAAACAACACATGGTCTTGATATCAAAATAAGCAGGACTTTTGATGGGGTGACTGCTGTTCTTAGATTCAGACTGTTTGATGGTGTGATTTGCTCACATCCTGACAAAACAACAGGAAACCAACAGAAAGGCCAGTAAATATATGCAGGTAGATTGCAGGAAAGGCATGGAGAGGGAGTTCCAAAGGCTCAGATTTGCAATGAGACTCCAAAGAGAGATGGCACAAAATGACAATAAACTGCTTTGATGTCTGAAAGTTGCAAGGAACCGCAGCACATGAACAAATTACCAGGAGATGATCATACAGTAGGGTTCTTGAATTCAATTACATCCATTAGAATAGAAGGATATCTATTGAAAAGATCTGTGATTTCTGATTCCCACACTACATGTCTGGAAGTTAAATGTAAGCACCATCCTTCAAAGTACACAAATGACATAACCTAATGGATTGACTTCAGAATGGTACATAGTTCACATGCACTCAAGCAGCTATGAAGGTTGGGTCTCATCACTCAGCCTAGTTCTTCCTCATCACCTATGCTCTTAACCTACTGTTTGAGCTCGGATGTTATCACACTAACATTGTCATGCTCCCTTCATCAGAAAAGAAACAAAGGAAAAAGAACTCATGACCCAACTTCCATCCATCCTTTCACTTGTTCCTTACACTTCTAGTTAGACTTTTGATCCTTGGAAAGGAAACAGGAAAGACCCAGAGCGAGATGCACACTGGCACAGGGATGGCTTTATCTGAATGATGGTAAGTTTTTGTGGCGCTGAGACTGCAGGATGTTGGAATTGATGGAAACCTGGCAGACCAGTCTTTGACTTTGTTTCACAACCTCCATATATTTCAGCTCTGTGGTCTCTTGCTTTCTGTGTTCTTCTATATCTCCTCAAAGGCAGTGCCTTGTTCTTAGTGGGGTGAAGCACCAGTTTGCTGCAATCAGGAGTCTCAATGGGGAGGACTCCATGCTGTGAGAAGGCTAATGTGAAAAGAGGCCCTTGGTCACCTGAGGAGGACACCAAACTGAAGGAGTTCATAGAGAAGTATGGGATTGGTGGGAACTGGATTTCTCTCCCTCAGAAAGCTGGTACCTCCCTCGCACTTTCTTTCCCTTTCATCAAGACCATATGATTTGATTTCGAATAGATATCATCTTGCTTTGTTTTGAGAGAGAGAGAGAGAGAGAGAGAGAGAGAGAGAGTATTTGATGTGAGGATGGTGGTGATCTTGGCTGTTTGGTGTTATGACAGGCCTGAAGAGATGTGGGAAGAGCTGCAGGCTAAGATGGCTCAACTATTTGAGACCCAACATAAAACATGGCGAGTTCTCGGAAGAAGAAGACAGGATCATATGCAGCCTTTTCACCACCATCGGAAGCAGGTGAGAGACATCCCTCGAAGGGAACAGAAGATTAACGGGTCTTCCTCTTGCTTTAATTACCGCCCTCTTCTTAGAACTGCCGTAGAAGAATTAACTGTTGGCGCTCCTCCTCTGCAACTGCAGGTGGTCAATCATAGCAGCCCAGCTCCCAGGCAGGACGGACAACGACATCAAGAACTACTGGAACACCAAGCTCAAGAAGAAGCTCCTGGGAATCACTAATCCTTCCCAAAGGAAACCTCGTCAGCAGAAGCAGCATCATCAAAATCACCAACAGTACTGCCTCCCATCCCCATCTCCACCATTACAAGGTCGAAGTCACACCACCACCACCACCACCACCACCGATGGCTTTCCCTTCACCACTGCAACTTCTGGCCTCCTGGAAGTTCCATATGACCAACATCAGATAAAGGAGAGTAGTGCCATGATCACGTTGGGCAATGACCAGACCTGCAGTTCTTCTGACGGAAGCTGCAGTACTAAGGCTGGCTACGTTGGAGGAGGAGATCATATGGACATTGATGGATATCTTTATGGTGCTACTGAACTGGAGTACAGCTCCGAGGAGATCAACCAGTTTCTGATCTCCATCCTGGGGTGCAGCAATGGTGGCACGAACAGCAACAATCTCTATCTGGATTACCCTACGGCCAATGCAGGGAGAGAAGAACTCGAAGACCCACTGAACTACTGATCGATCAATCCGTGACCATAGAGGAAGAGGTCATGAGAACAACTCCGTGGGTTGGAGAGAGTGAGGCTTGTTAATCTCTCATATGCTGTCTGCACAAATGCTACCTAAACATGCTTTTCTTTAGGATTAACGGTGTCAAACTAAGTTTCTTATGTTGCGTTGGTGACTAATTAGTAATTACACGTTTGGTTTTAACATCGTAATTGGCTCACAAGTCATCGGAGGAGGATCCTCTCCAAGTATCCTTTGCATAGAAAACTTCCAATTCCATCATCTGAACCGTTCATTCACTTGATTCCTCGCAACAGCGACCTACCGTAATTACCTTTTCATCGTCTATTGCAAGATTTTACTATCAACTTTACCGTGAGCATATTATATATATATATATATATATGTATATGCATATATATATATATATGTATATGCATATATATATATATATGTATATATATACACATATATATTAAGAATTTGAATTTCAATTAAGAATTTAAAATTATATATGGGAAGACAAAAGAGGAAAAAATTATATTTTCTTAAGAACATAAAAAATATTTTCTTTTTTCAGAAAAAAATAATAAAAATAAAAGGGTAAACTTATCTCCTTAAGTGGGGCCGAGGCATAGAGAGAGAGCGCGCAGATAAAGCCAAAGGCCTTTTCGACCACTCCGCCGAATGCCAAGATCGAGCTCTGTTTCAATGGCGAAGCGGTACGAAACCAAACACCTTCCGCTTTCCACGTGTAGTTCTCGCGTCCGTCCTCTTGGATCGCCGGTCTCCCTCCCCAGATGCTTCGGGATCTCTCATGGCGCTCGCCCCTTGGCCCTCCTCTTTATCGCACCTTGCCGGTGATCGCCGATCCTTCCCTTCCTTCCGACGGTCCCAGGAACTCCGTCTGCTGTGGAGCTCCAATCCGTACCTAGTTCGCAGAAGCCTCGCGCCCTGTTGCTCTGGGGAGGAATTTAGGTACGCTGCGGCTTTCATTGGGTCAGTTGGAGATTACAAAGTTCTTTGGTGAGTGATTTAACGTTTTCTTCGCTAGAGATGGGTTCTTGATCGTTGTTTCTGTTGTAGCAGGAGAGGGAGGGCGTTGAAGAGCAAAGAGGAGTTCTGCCATGAACTGCGGGAGTTCATATCGGCGACGGGGCTTGCTGAGAATCGCGTGCCCTCCATGAAGGAGCTCTGCGAAAACGGGAGGTCCGTTAGCTTACGTCTCCCCTTCTACCTTCTTCTTCGTCCTTCTTTCTTAAAAAAAAATTGTTATTTTTTTTCCTTTGTTTGGTTAGTCCTTAAGAATTGCATTATGTGGATTATCAGATGGCGCTTGCTATCATTCTTATGTTTTCTTTGTTATACCTCAACACTTCCTTCAAAAAGTTACGTTTTCTGCATCATTGATCAGAGCCAAGCAAATTTAGAGGGGTTAAAATATGAGATTCTGTGCGAATGTGAACCTTATTTGGGTTGTTTCTTTTCGGAAGTTCTGACGGTGGCTTACCTGATAAAAATATTGTGCTTTCTGTTGATATCGTATGAACTTAAAGATGTTTGGAATTTGGATGTCCATCTGTCGTGAATGGTGAACCAATGGTCTGTCTTAGTCCACAAGTAAGAAACATGCACTATCAAGAATGTCCTACATCTTCGTTCTCAAACTGGAAAATGTATCTCTTATTCAGAGACCCAATCAGATTGATGTTCAACTTTTGCTGCTCATTTTTTATAATTGTAGATTGTATTGAGCACAAAATCCGCATAATTTCCAACTCCAAATTTTGTCAAGTTTGGATTTCTCTCTTCCTACAGTAGGTGGAAATAACACAAGCTTGATTCTATGTCATGCACCAGACACTTGGTTATATTAGCTGAAACTATAATGTGCCCTCCTGAATTTGTGGTCTACAGCATGAATTTGGCATGCCTTGTATAGTCAATGATCTGTTCACTTGTTCAGTTATACACAGTTTATGGAAGGGCATGAGAATAATTAACTCAACATAGATTCTATTCACCATTTAGTGTTTACATGCCAAGTTAACAAAATCATGTCAGTTCATTGATTACTTTTATGGAATGGACATCTGCAGAGGTAAGCATGTCTATCTGAAATTCTGGCTAGTGTAGTTTGTAATGCTAAAACCATCATGTTCTTAGATTAAGAAAATAACTTAAATGATATGTATGATTTTGAATCAAAGGATCGCTCTTGGACAGCTGTTGTTGGCGATATCAAGTTTGCATTTATTTCAGTATACCACAGGTGTAATTAGTCCCACCAAACTTCCTAGATGTTTCTTTAGAACTTGTCATTCAATGGTGGACAAGAGAATATACTTTTCAGTGGATTTGTTGACTTAATCAGAACTGTAGTTTATGTCAAATCAGCAGTTTCTGACAGCTGTAATTGTCAATGTCAAACTTGCACTATTTTAAATGGTTCCCTTGTCCAGTTGATCTCATGAGGACCTGCCACTCAGCAGCTACAAATGACTGCAAAGGTGCATCGTGTTGGTGGTAACCATAGTCAATTTGATAACAATAAAATATAACTTTGTCTTTAGTCTTATAAACACTGCAGTAACCCGAGATTGAACTCCTTCTGGACATGATTTGAAAAGCTTTGTTATTTTCTCGTATTTTTTATGGGTTGGAACCATTATATATATTTTATATCTAGATTGCTTGTCCTGTGCATGACATGGTGGTACCATGGCTTCTTCTTTTCAATGTTAAGAAGCTTGTAGAAGCAAGGTTTGACTTGAATATATTTCTGGCTAGATAAATGTCTACCTTGCGATTGCCATAGGAAGGACCTCGCAAATATTGTGAGACGGAGAGGATACAAGGTTGTCACAGAACTTCTTTTTAATTCAAATGGAGAGAACCATTCAGATAAAATTTCAGAAGGAAGACAAAGATTTATAGATGCAGAATTATATAAAGCTGCAGGTTTGCAAGTTTTCCAGATTGCGTATTGGTTTCTTACTCACTAGTCACTACTACTGCTGATTTTATTCATAGTGCATTGTAACCTTAGGAGGTCAAGAGACGAAGATACATGTGTCTCCTTATTGTACCTTACGGCGAAGCAACCGTTCTATGGAGAGAGACTTGGTTAAATCAAATGGAATGGTATTAACTGATAATCATGTCCAAGTATGTGATAATTCAGAATCTTCAGTGGACTCCTTGCATATAAAGGCAGTAAAGTTTAGACAGACTGGAGAACTGGATACAATGGAAGGTAATTTTGTAATGTAAATTTATCTCTTTTGTTCTTTATGCTCACCTTTTCTGTTGATTATTTCAAGTTGAATATGAATTGTTTCTTTTACAACTTGTTGTCACCAGAAGTCCTGTGAAGGCTATCGGTATGGCTGAAAGTATTAAAAGGAACCTATATACATAACTGTATTGATATGAATTGTTCAATTATCAATTTTGTTTTCTCCTTTTTTATTGTCATCAGGTTAGGCATGCAAACTGATGGAACACTAGCTAAGTATATGATCTTGTATTAATCTACAGGTTTTTTTTTTTTTCTCTTTTATAGATCAACTATCCTGAGAGCCCCAAAGACAAATTTTGTGGATCAGAATGTCCACATCACATACTGTAGTATCAAAATTGTCTTGTACATGAGGCGTAGTACTTTGCTTCCTCATGTGTTGTATTTATCATCCATTTCCTATGAAAATTTTCAACATTGTACTAGCAATTGAAAATCTTGCTCCATGTATGCCTTTTTGTCAGGGAATGGATTAAAATAAAGCTGAAGTCAGAACTGGTCTCACCATGAATAACATTTTTGCTCTGTAATCTTTAATGGAAGCCAATTCTGGTTTCCTTAATCAACTAATTATTTGTGCCCATGGAAGGTTATGACATTTTGTTCAACTATATTTTTCTGTTCTGCCTCTGCGAGATGCATTCCTAGTGACATGTATCAGATACAGTTGTGGCATTTGTATTGCCTTCAAGATCTTGTAGAGACGTCAAGTAATTGGTTATTTTCTATAACTAATTAACCATCAGTTTGAGCATAGAAGGGACTGAGTCTGAATACATGACTCCACATACCATACCTCTTAATGGGCATAAATGCTCAGCAGTTTTGTCTATTAGTTTTTAGTTTTCAGTTTCAATCTTTGTATAGTTACTTATTAACTTCACAAGCTTTTTTAACATCTAATGCAGTTTCAGCATTCTTTTTTCCCCTAATTTTTTGTCAAAATGTATGACAAAACCTTTTTCTTTCAGTCTGTTCTTATTCACTGATCAGTGGATATTGATTGAAATACATTGTAAATAAGAAGTTAGTAGTAGATGTGATATTTAAGCTTGGTGTGCTTCATACCTTTTTCTTAAACATAAATTTTTCTAAACTCCAAATTCATATATAAATGAATAATTGTGTTTATCTACTATAATTTAAAATATGAGAAATTAATACTTAGCCACGTGCTTTGATTGCTTTAGTGGTATAATTCAGACCTCATGTCAGTCCTCATTTTGTTTATTTACTTAATGATTCCTCAGGTGAAGACTGTGAGTTATATCACGATTTGGCTTCAGAGGTTGTAACCTTTTACATTATTATCTAAATAATCTTGTAATAAGTCTAATCCTTGTTTCAATTGTGTATTGTTTCTGTGTTAAGATTTATGAACATGACAATCAGAATGAAATCAATCGTTTGAAGATCTTGCTGGTAACAATATCATGTCTCATTTTCTTTCTCTGAATTTTTAATTAAATTTGTTTTTAGATTGTAATTTTTAATTGTGAAGTTACCATGTCAAAATGATCACCTTATGCTGGATTGTGTTAGCATCAAAAGAAGATGGAACTTTCCCAACTAAAGCAACAAATTGATGATGAGAAGGTACTAAAGATCTATTATTTTTTCATTAGCTATTTATATATAGAAGCATATCCATAAGAATCATGACAGTATTTTTCTAAGAAGCATTCAAATATAAATTCTTTTATTCGTACAGAATTTTCACATTCATGATATTTATTACTTTAAAATGTGAGCCTAGGATATTTGTTGATGTGAATTATAGATTCTTTTAGATATGTCAAAACTTGCTTTAGTAGCTTTCAGAAAAGCTACTTTTCGATTCCTTATGTGATAGAAACGACTAAAATCATGTAACCAAATGATTTATTTTCTCTAAGAAGCATTATACATCTTTAGAAGACACAAAAGTGATTCTATTTAGAAATTTTTAAAATTAAATTTCTGTACCAATATGTCCACTCCTGTCATCTTACATGTTACTGTTATACACTATGAATATCATGATATTTTTAATAATTTGTTAAAAGTAGAATGATGGCTAATTTTTAAAGCTGAATTAGTTTTGTTATTTCAAGCTACTTTTCTGATTGTATGTAATATAAATTTAACTGTTTCCTCAAAGATCTATTCTAGTTCAATATCATTATTGTACTTGGCAGGGGTTTTCAAAATTTCAGTGATGAATGAACATATGCTGAAAGAAACTGTAATCATTCTCTTTCTTGCCTCAGCTTGCATTAAGTAGTCTTCACGCTAGGGCCACAGTTGAGCTTGGTGATATAAAAAGAATCGTAGCAGAGAAAGATGCGGAACTCCATGCTGCCGAGGGGAACTTAAATGGACTAAAAGAGGTATGCATTCTCCTTTTAATCTTGTGTCTTCATTGTGTGCCCTTGTTTGTCCCATATGTATCATTAATACATAATGTAAACAACCAGAATATCATCTTAGTGAACCTGGTTTGCTTTTAAACATGCAAGAAATCTTGAATGCTTGGAACAATAAAGCATTTAGATTTACAAGTGCAACTTCGTATTCATGAAAGTCAGAAATGAATTACATCAAAGAAGATGGAAATCTAATTCCAAAAAGCATTCACTTCTTACCAAATATTACATTGATTCTCTGTGGTGAATCAGCAGTATCCTGTGCATGCTATTAATTCTTTTTTCTTTTAACTTAGGATTTTCATTAACATATAAGCAATTTGCTTACTTAGAATGCATTAGATTTGGCATTGAAGCATGGTCTTGTTGACACAGGTTCGTATCGACTACTGGGCAAACGGTCAAATCATAGAAGTTGCTGGTAGTTTTAATGGTTGGCAGCATAGAGTCAGAATGGATCACCATCCTTCATCTAAACACATAAATCCACCTGGGTACAGGTTTAGTCAGCATTTATTATACCCTCTTCCTATACCATTTGAGACCTGTTGTAATCTCTGATGAGTGTTAAGCTTACATAGTTTCATATACCATGGTCCAAGGTTCGTTGTACCATAGCATATCACTCGGTACGGGTGATATATACCGGTCCGACAGGAGATTGGTATGGGTGGTACATTAGTATACTCTCATGTACCATGTGTCGATACGCTCAGTATGGCTCGATACAACTCGATACATACCATACCAGCAATTGATCGGTTCATCGGTACGGACTGATAAGGCGAACCATGGCATGGTCAATCTCATATTTTTATGATATGATATTGTCATGTGATGCTTTTAACCTCGTTATCACCAAGACTCAGGATATGTTCTTCTATTTTTATATAACAATTTTGATTGTGGTTTTAGGGCCTTATCTCAGGTGGCAGGGTGGGAGGCCTGTGTTGACATTTTTACAATGAATTGGATAGGTAGTCTGTGGAAATGGAGTGGGCAGGCACCTATAGGGGGATCTCATGGTTGTCTGATCTATGTATTGGCTCTGCAAAGTGGGTTAAATTGGTTTGGATACCAATAATTCAATAAATCATCTAATGTGATAAACAAAGTCTCTAGTCTCCACTATGGACCTTACAGGTTTATTCCGGTAATATAAATGGAGAATAGAGATGACTTGTTTCATGGCTACCAATAGGAGCCACTGCCATGGTGGGCAGCAATTAGTGATCAGCCAACAAAATGGACATTTACATCATCCGGTGCTGTTTGGCATGGCAATAGCAATAGTGACCATTTCCAATTGCTATACACATCAGCAAGTTCTTGGGACTGACCAGTGCCTGTATCCAGGAGCCAGTGGCCTGCTCTAAATGCTTGGCCAGGTGTTGGTTGCTATTTAGCTGCTGCATATAGATTAAATGTTTGTTTAGCAACCCTAATCCTTCTGATTGATGTTAAAAGCACTTGGTTTTGTGCCCCTTTTCAATTAAATTTATAATAATGAATAGTAAGCAAAATTATCTATTTGATCTGCTCCTATTAAATCAGGTCAGTTTTAATTATGACACAATCAACTACCCAGTCAATATAGAAGTTGCAATATTTTTCTAAATTGTTGCATTCCATATTATTTTTTTTACAGTTGCCTATAGCTTAGTGATTGTGACTTATGGTTTTGTTGTTGTTGTTGTTATCATCTATAGCTTAATGTCAATTTTATTTTGTTTTTTTCTTTGTGATTTTTGTTCTCTAAAGGCTAAAACATGAAAAACAATGTGTCAAACATGTTTGGTATTTTTTTCTATATTTTATTTTGTAAGAAATTATTTAAGAGTGCAAAATGTTTGGGTTAAAAAATTATAGGGAAAATACTAGAAATGGCGCTAGACCCATTATGGTTGGACTCGAGAATTTGAGACTCCCAGTCCTCTTCTTTGATGGATAAACCCGTGATTATAAAAAAAATCATGAAAAAATTAAAGACAAAAACAAAAAAGATAATATTGTTTTCTTGATTGTCTATATACACATAAATGAAAATGATGCCAGGTGTGTTCTCAGTTAATAGAAAACATTCCTGAAATTATTCTATACATATAACTCAGGTAAAGTTCTGGGTCACTGTATGTATTTTAAGATCTTTGAAGAAGATGAGGTTTCAGCATTTTAACATTTCATTATAAAAGAAATGTATTAATAGACTATAAGCAGTTTGTTTTTAAATGATGCAGTTATAAATGATAAAAAATTCTGACCTACCAATTAGGGATGTGTAAAATGTAGCCTTAGAAGAGCGCAAATTTTAATTGTCATCAGTGACACTTTTGGACTCTGCTGCAGAACAACTTTTACTTACTCTAATAACGCTCACTTTTTCCTACTGGAACACTGTTAGTCATTTTATCTGATGATGTACTGTGCAGGAAGCCAATGCTCTGGTCAACAGTGTTGTGGCTCTATCCTGGAGTTTATGAGGTATGCAAAGTTGCAAAACTGGCATTTCATATATTTCAAAGTGATATCCCATTGCATAGAGCAGTTTTAGTCCGATCTTTCATTCTAATTGTAGGCCTTTCCACTGTTCTTCCAACAATGAAATAGTTTAGTGTTTGAACTTTGAAGTAGGTTATTTGTAGAGTTGCTATCACTACAATGTTCTAAGGTATATTTGATTTTAGCTTTGGGTGTCATGATAGCAATGTCTTAACCTCAGTCATAATGAGATGCTTGGTGTTAGAATCTGATCTCACATGTTACATTAACGAGTGCAAGTTTAAAAGATTAATCTAATTCTCTTTCCTCAGAGGGTTAAACAAGCTTAATCACTTCATTCTTAATTTGTTACCCTCAGATAAAATTCATTGTTGATGGCGAGTGGAGAATCGACTCTCAATGGGAGATTATCACCAGCGGAGGCATAACCAATAATGTTCTGAGAGTAGACAAGTGAGGTGACCCAAAATTTTGCAACTATATGTTTTTTGATTCCATTAGTCATATTCTATGAGTGTATTCAGGAAAAATATCTATTTCCATCTCATCCAGTTTTGTACAACTTACTGATTCCATATTCTTTTCATGAATACAGGCTAAAAGCTCAAAAGAAGCTGATCTAGGAAATAATTCAGAGACCCAACCTATTGTAGAGGAAGTGGATTGATAGGGTTTCAGAAAATGCATTGAACTTTCTGTTGGTATATGTTGTATAAATGAAATCATCTTAAGAAGTTTCCTGTTTGACATGAACAGCTTATGTGGTACACTGTGAATACCAGTTATGTGAGCCAATGCCAGGTATTTCATATGTTTTTAGGCCCATATATGAAGCAAGAATAATGATTGGTTGGATTATCTAAGTACATGTTCAAAAATATGTTACTTTGTTTACAAGCAGAAACTACATCTGATCATTGCAAGAGTTGAGATCATCCTAAGGTCTTATATCAAAATTTATTTCGAAGAAAAAATGTTGGGAACCCAAATCATAGCTAATGTAATAGTTTGATCAAAGCTTCTTTGTTCTATTTGATCAATGAGTATAGTTCTCGTTCCAAAACGCACTCGTATTGCTTCTGGATCCTTCCTAATTGGTTAATTAAGGTTAATAGTAATTGATTAATTAAGATTAATCCCGTCTAAATCCAATTATTTAATCATATAGATCGAGTAAGAGGTCGTGTCGCGTTCGCCGAATACCGTCACCCGCTGGTTCAAGAGCGGGAGAAGAAGCCGATGCAAGTAAAAGATGTCCGACCAAAACCCTCTCCCTCCTCCTCCTCCTCCTTTCACCATCGGTCCTCCCTTTTCCGCCCCTTTGGTCCCTCAGAACCCTAACCCTAACCTTCATCCTAACTTTTACCTTAACCCCAGCCCCAACTTCCACCTCCAAGTCCCCTTCCAGACCAAGCGCAAGCGCACCGGCGTCCGCCGCCGCGCGGCCGCCCCTCCCTCGTCCGTCGCGCTTCCTCCGCCCCTTCCCTCCCTCGCGCCCCCGCCTCCGGCCCCCTCCAACCCTCTCCCCGACCCAGGCCCCCAGAACCCTGATCCTGACATCTCCGAGGAGATCATCGTCATCAACAAGGAGGCCACCACCGAAGCCCTCACCGCCCTCACCGCCGGCTTCCCGGCTGACTCCCTCACCGAGGAGGAGATCGAGGCCGGCGTCGTCTCCTCCATCGGCGGCATCGAGCAGGTCAACTACATCCTCATCCGCAACCACATCCTCTCCAGATGGAGGGAGAACGTCTCCAACTGGCTCACCAAGGAGGCCTTCGTCTCGGTGATCCCGCCGCATTACGAGCCCCTTCTAAATTCGGCCTACAACTTCCTGGTCTCGCACGGGTACGTGAACTTTGGAGTTGCGCCAGCGATCAAGGAGAGGATCCCCGCGGAGCCAACCAAGGCGAATGTGGTTATTGTGGGCGCTGGCCTTGCGGGACTGGCTGCAGCAAGGCAGTTGATGTCGTTCGGGTTCAAAGTTGTGGTCTTGGAAGGAAGAAAGAGGTGTGGAGGCAGAGTGTATACGAAGAGGATGGAGGGGGCTAACAAGTTTGCAGCAGCTGATTTGGGCGGGAGTGTGTTGACGGGCACCCTGGGGAACCCACTTGGTATCATCGCCAAACAGTTGGGTTCAACGCTTCATAAGGTCAGAGATAAGTGCCCCTTGTACAGGCCAGATGGGAAGCCGGTGGATCCTGACTTGGATACTAAGGTGGAAAATGCATTCAACAAGCTTCTGGATAAGGCCAGCCGACTGAGGCTGTGTATGGGAGAGGTTGCGATGGATGTCTCGCTCGGGGCTGCACTGGAGACTTTTAGGCAGGTGTACGGTGATGCTGTGACTGAAGAGGAGATGAATCTATTTAATTGGCACTTGGCAAATCTGGAGTATGCTAATGCTGGTTTACTGTCGAAGCTCTCGCTTGCCTTTTGGGATCAGGATGATCCATATGACATGGGCGGCGATCACTGTTTCTTGCCGGGTGGGAATGGGAGGTTGGTTCAGGCTTTATCTGAGAATGTTCCTATTATCTATGAGAAGACAGTCCATGCAATCCGGTATGGTGGTGACGGAGTGCAAGTAATCTCAGGCTCACAGGTTTATGAGGGGGACATGGCACTGTGTACAGTTCCCCTTGGTGTCTTGAAGAATGGGAGTATAAAGTTTGTACCAGAGCTACCTCAGAGAAAGCTTGATGGGATTAAGCGGTTGGGTTTTGGCTTGTTGAATAAGGTTGCTATGTTGTTCCCTCATGTCTTTTGGAACATGGATATTGATACCTTTGGGCATCTGTCCGATAATCCAAGTCATCGAGGGGAGTTCTTTTTGTTCTATAGTTATGCAACGGTAGCTGGTGGACCCCTCTTGATTGCATTGGTTGCAGGGGAAGCAGCACATAACTTTGAAACGATGCCTCCCACAGATGCTGTGACACTAGTTCTTCAGATTCTAAGAGGTAATTTAGTATGTGTCTACCATTAGATTGTTTGCTCTCAGTGTTTGTGAAACCATAGCTATTGTTTCTGTTCTATAGATAACGGTAAAACTTCTCATTTCCTAAGTTTGTTTTGTTGAAATTCACTTTTGCATAATGTGCAGTGAATTTCCTTTCCAGGTTGGGGATCAGAGTCTGAGATGTAACTGATCATCTCATATTGCCAAGTTCTAACGTTGTGGTGGATATCATTGTTCATATAAGTGCTGCTGAATTTTTACTGAATTTTTCTGTATATTATTATTTTTAACATGGTACATTTCCTAGTTAACATCTGTTAGAATTGTTCTGAACAAATCACAGTTAAAAAACTTACATGCTTGTAAATTACTAGCATCTTCTTTTGTAAATTACTAGCATCATAGTTAAGATGACTTGCTGATGGTTCAACATGTTGAATTCGTAGGGTCACAAAGCCAAAGTCATTTAAGGTGAATACTTGTCTTTTCTGCTTATCCTGATGATTTGTTACTAATCTTGCATCAGTATGGTCTGTTGTTGATGCCACTCTTGCCCTCTTGGAGATATTCCTCTAGGACTTTGTGCTTGAAATGCATCACACCCTTTATGCTAGGTTCTTATCTCTAGAACTATGTTTTGAACATGTTGTATATTTATTTTTCTGAACATATAACTAAAGAAGTTTGGTCTCATCTTTGGTGCATCTTTATTAAATCTGGATAGCCATATATTGGTCGCAAGCTAAAGGACAAATAAACTAATGAGTATTAATGATGCAGCCACGTTTGTAAAATGAAATATTTTGTTTAAATGAGATAAGCGAACGATTTTACATAGAAAATGTATCCATTTGTTGTAAAAATATGAAAAGATTGTAGAGGCTCTGCAATGGAAAATTATTTGAATGTCCATCCATAATTCCTTTATCTCTCAGTGTTGTGTGGGCTGCCATGATTCTTTCAGTAATGACATTATTTGGTCCAGTGCTGCAGTTCCAATGAGAGAACAATCTTGAGCTTTTGTCGGCATTTACTGCCTATAGGATCAGATGACATTGCATATTCTGATAAATTCATCTTAAATGCACATTGTTGCTCAGCAGTGCTTAGGTTTAGCATTCATCTGTTCTTAAAAACTCCGCCTTACCTTCTACAGTTAGGTTTTCTTAATAACTTAGTGCCATAGGAAATAAAATGCCGTGAAAGCTTCAGCCATAGTTCAGAAAAATGAGAAAACATAGTTCATCATGTTATTGTTAGTATCAAAATGAGAACTTCTTTGGAATATAACCTAACTATATTTACCTGTAGTCACATCCAAGCAGCTTGTTTGCATGTACTTCATGCTTGAGATTCTTAGTTATCTTGCATAAGCATTGACTATGGACTTCTGTTGATGAGGCATAAGCAATCAACCATCTTATGAACTTCTGTTGATGAGACATCTTGGACTCAATGAATTGAAGTTATACTCTTTTGGCCATATTAAGCAATTTATAATCTTTTTATGGGTTTTTATAAACAGGTATCTTTGAGCCACAAGGAATTGAAGTTCCAGATCCTCTCCAAAGTGTCTGCACTAGATGGGGTACTGACTCCTTCAGTTTGGGTTCTTATTCACATGTTGCCGTTGGGGCATCCGGGGATGACTATGATATCCTAGCAGAAAGTGTCGGAGATGGGCGGCTTTTCTTTGCTGGAGAGGCTACAACAAGGCGCTACCCTGCTACTATGCATGGAGCTTTCATTAGTGGTCTAAGAGAGGCTGCTAATATGGCCCACCATGCTAATGCACGGGCTTTACAAATAAAAGTGGAAAGAAGCCCCTCTAAGAACACTCAGGCTTGTGCTGCCCTTCTAGCAGATTTATTTAGGGAACCTGACTTGGAATTTGGAAGTTTTTCTGTTATTTTTGGCCGGAAAACATCTGATCCAAAGTCTCCAGCAATTATTCGAGTGTCATTGGGTGGTCCACGAAAGAAGAATACCAATGAGGTCTCAAAGGCAGATCAACAGCATTCAAACAAGTTGCTGTTTCAGCAGCTTCAATCCCATTACAATCAGCAACAACAGCTTCATGTTTACACATTGTTATCTCGACAACAAGCTCTAGATTTGAGAGAGGTGAGAGGAGGGGATGATATGAGGTTGTTTTACCTAACTGAAAAACTTGGTGTAAAGTTGGTTGGTAGAAGAGGGCTGGGACCTGCTGCTGATTCTGCTATTGCTTCCATTAAGGCTGAGAGAGGCAACCGATGAGCCAAATTGATTTATTTAGATTTAATGATCCATTGATGTAAAGAACAATGATTGATGTTATGTTTGAATGGGTTTGTGGAATAGTCACCATTGCATGGAGTAAGCTGGTTTTTGCATCTTGACCTGGTAAGTATAGTTTACCTTGATTCTTTCATAAACTGGTTTCTCAAGCAATAACAAGGACAAGAACAATTTACTTATTCGTTCATCTTTTTAATTCTTTTTATCACGTTTATAATTCTTCTTATGCATCGATGTACATTTGCTTGAGTGTGCAGCTACCGATACAGGACGACGGCACCAATGGGAAATCGTAGTTCGGTTGGTTTAAAGCTATTTCATAAGATTGAGGCCGTGGACCAACTCCTGGACAGGATTTGCATATAGCTGAGGCTTGCTAAATATTGCAACATTTGTTGTCTTTGTTCCATGTTACCTGCTACGCTTTTGTTCGATTTCCTGAAAGTCTCAAAATCTGAGCCACTTGTTCCTTTCTATACTGAAATCAACTTGGGAAAGATTACTTTTTATGTACAATTATTTTTCTGGTTTTGGTTGCCAAGTATATATACCTCAAAAAGGCAGAGCTGAGTAAATCAACATGTCATTCAAGGGTTTTAAGGGGTAGAACGAGTTCTGTTGAATGATTTGTTATATATTCATATTGATGTAACCCCTCTTTGATTTCATTTTCAGAAGCACTGTCTCTCCTTGTAATGAGAACAAATAGATGTACCAAATTGTTCTCCAATCAGTCACTGCGATGTCTCACTCCCATTTGTCATCTGAATTCTGACTAGGTAGCAAGGCATGTTCTCTTGCGCTTAAATCATGTCATCTCCTGCTGCTCATGTGTATCATCTGTTTTCTCATGAACCGATTCTCTATGTTGTCTATTGATGAAGACCAAAGGACAGCAAATCATTATAATCATCAATAGAAGGCTACATAGAACCAGAAAAAATTCAAGCATTTCCTATAGTTTCAAATTCCTTTCTTCTCTCATCTATGATAATAAAGAGTGAAGTATATGATAAGATTGAATGACAAGAATGCATAGTTTTATATAATGCATTGTTAGGCCTATCTTATCAATCCAACTCTTTAGTCCACACATGTGCATGAGCAGCATACATGTTTCCACCTTCACATGTGTGTGCAGTATGTGGCCCTTCTTGTAGTCACATCCATCCAAACAAGATCAATTTGGTGATCCAATGGCTGGGCCAGAAGCTCCAATTTGTCAGTGTGGTGGCCCCCAAGCCCTCACTTTTATATGCATGTCATATGTGACATCTCTGTACATATATATATATATATATATATATATATATATATATATATATATATATATATACCAAGTAGCATATATATTAATCATTACAAAATGAATTTAGTATATATACTCATCGAAATATTAAGATCCTCCATATATATATTGACGTTAACATCTAACCAGAAATATATAACATATATTAATCATGTCTAAGTAAGTAAATAAAAAATATATTTTGCATAAAATATTTTTGGTACCATAATTTTTCTGAAGAGTTAAATTAGAGTTCAACTCAATTGTAAATCTACAGTAGCTAATAGTGACGATGAACAAATTTTTAGGTTATATATATATATATATATATATATATATAGAGAGAGAGAGAGAGAGAGAGAGAGAGAGAGAGAGAGAGAAACAGGTGAGGTTTCTCCTTGGATTCACTGCTAAACATCAGGGCTTGAAACAGAGACAAAGACAATAAACCAAAATGGCAAAATGGGAAGTGGAAACAAAGAAAGGATCCAAACTACAAGAAACAGATGGATGCAGCCGACAAGGCTCTGGAAAATGTCATCCACCCACCTGTAGGTGACACTACAAAGCAGTCCCCCTTCCATGTCTTCTGATGACATGTTCTTCTCTTTTGTATCAGTTGTTATGGTCTAATTTCTTAGCTACAGCAAGGTGTATTTTATTCTGTATGATATCTCCTGCACTGCGGTACCCTCCCTCCATGTTTTCTGAAGGCATATCCATCTTTGTATTGTCTGTCAGTTGTTATGGTCCAATCCCTCAGTTACAACAATGTGCAGATTATTCTGTGCTCGTTCCTATGGGATTTAATAGTTAGATCTTCTAAATAGTTGGGACTTATGGCTTTGTTGTTGATGTTGTACTATCTTCAAAAGATTTGTCTACATGACCTTGTGCTACATTAACTTGATGCCATCTGAGGACCATGACTTCTCTGTTCATGGATGGCAACCAACCAACCGACCATTCGTTCTGAGGGCAAACACTTGCCTCTTAACATGTTGGATTTCAGTAGGTTACCTGACATACTGATTGCATGTATTCTTCACTAGGTTGTTGTTTTGTTTCTCTATTCAACTTGGTTAAACATTGGTTTGATCATAGAAGGCAATCCCTGTTATTCTAGTCGCATCAAGTTGGTAGATGTTTGAATTGGTAATTAGCTGCATTTCCAAGAAATAATTTGCTACAGGAAGTCTAATTTTCAACTTGAACAATAGCTCTCTGACTTGTCCATTTGAAATCTTCATAAAGAGTTCATGGATAACTTGAACATCATCGGCTTTGATAGGACCAAACTTTGAATACTTCCTACTCTTTACTGTTAACTTTTTCAGCTGCTCATGATGTGACCCAGCCACCATTCATGGCCATGTTCTGCAGACAAGCTTCTAGCAAGTAAATTTTGTTTCTTGCATGACTAGGTTCAGGATCTCCATCTGCTACTGGAATCATGGAAGCCTGTCATTAGATAGAACAACCATGTTAGCTCCAATATAATGCTTTACCAGATATTGAAGAATAGAAAAGGATCATGCTTTATCATGTTCTAGTGCCTGCACATTTTTTATGATCTAAGAATCCATATCAGGCGATTAAACTTCCCAATTATCGTGTGAAGCAAAAAGGGGGCTCAATTATTTGGTGGTGTTGTCATCTGTGTGCATGTGCAGCAGCAATTCAGTCACTTTGTTCATCAGCCACTGAAGGACATACACTGTTCCCTAAAAACCAATAGAAATGATATCTCCTATGTCATGGATGGCAACTTCCAACCCAACTCTCATTTGTCCACACCTTAATGCTTGTTGATTGATGTGAATGAATGGGACCATATCTGCTTATAGAAGTTTAGCATGGATAAACTTCTATGGACTTATATGAGGAGAAGAATCCTTTTTGTCATAAACTTGTTATATTAAATATCACAAATTAGCATATATTGGAATGATCTGTATCATGTCAATGTTAATGTGTAAAACATCTAGGAAAACTCGAAACAAATTGATTTACTTTGTATTTATATTTTGTTACTATTTGCTACATCATTATATGTGTTGTCATACTGACCCATGCTAACTTTATATGGACTGGCACACAGCATACAACATATTTTGTTAACATGAGGCAGAATTCTGTGCCAAAATGATGAAAACATTGCATTGAACTGGTTTCATTCGAGTGCTGGTTGGTACATATCAAAGTTTCGGATACTGGTCATCGGTAAGGTTTGTATTGACCAGTATTACTTTTATCCTATCTTTTGACTGATACCAAGCTATCCAGTAGATAACCAAAATCGGTGCCAGACCAAAACCCTGGTACAGATACCAACCACAATAACAAGTTTTCTTATGTAAGAGACTAAGAGAGCATGTATGTATCGCAAAAGCATCTTAAGAAGCTGAAAGCTTTTCAAACAACCTTCAAAGTGAACTTACTGTGAAGGTGTGGTTGTTAACTTCTCATTTCTGATGGGTTCTGTTGAAATGTCTTTTTCCTCGGCAATTGAAGGACAAATCTATGAAGCAATAATGAGCTCAATCATAATTCCTAACCATGAGAAAGTTCCAATTCCTAGTCTTATAATGACAATTTTTGAGTTAATACAGATTAATATTATGAACTTTTTCTGATGTTACTGAGATTTGTCTCACATTGGTATGTTCTTATCTCTTTAATCACCTCATCTTTATTTATTGCTAAAATTTTTGAACTTCTTTGTACTATGTGAAAAAAAAAAATCTTTTTCTCACTTTTTAACTTGTCAGTCAGTTATTTATAGCTCAACCACTCAAGGCTAAGACTTGAGATTTCTATATTACTCAATCAGAATTCTTCATGGCTGGTGAGACTAAACTTCGTGGAATTCTTAAGTGCAATAATTTTCTATAGAATGCACTTTGAAGGTGGCCTTATCACATGATCACATTGTCCTGAAATGTTCAGATGCTTCATATCGGTAGGTGCAGAAGCACAGGGCAGATGAATTAAATATATGAATTCCATAGAGCAATGTTGGTGGCCTGCCATCATGGGAAGATTGCAGATAATCTTACTGCAGATACACTGCTATTAATGCTTTTTCGACACTATTTGATCCAGAGTGACATAAATAATTGTGCAGCAACCAGTTTCATGGTCTCCGAGTTGCTTAGCGCTTAACTCAGTCTCACCTAAACACAAAGAAGAAAACAAGTGAGGAAAGACTCTTATCAATTCATTCATGTGCAACAAATATAACATGAAGTTGACAGCTGAACTAGCAGAGGGTATTGGAACAAAGCAGCCAAAGTAGGTCCAATTGACAGGCTTATAACAAGCATTCTGATGGGGGCATACCAGCTGACTCTGTGATCATCTCTCTCTGTGTCATTTGCTCAAGGGATCAACTAAATTGGACATTTAAGTTTCAAAGCTTATATCTGAAGGACTTTTGATGGTGAAAGCTGAGGTTAGTGCAGAAGAAGGTGGTGCCACAAATGTTAAGAGAGCTTCATAGGAAACAATCCATCGAAGTAAACTCTGGTCCATGATCAATTCTGCTGTTGTGGTCCTTGGAGCATTTATTCAGCATCATGAATGGCAATGTCGGCTGTACTCACCTACCGATGTTGATACAGTATGCACCGCCACTCGCAACTGTTGGCACGATACTCAATTGTCATGTAGTGTAGTTTAGCTAGATTCTGAATGTTGGTTATGGAGCTGAATGCAGATGGGTTGATGCTGAATTGAATGCTTGGGTTGACTTGTATCTAAAAGAAAGAAAAAAGAGCAGTTGGGTGCATCAATTATTTGTTATCGCAGAGTTTGTTTCTGTAAACTTGAATTGTAATAACCTGTATCACAATGCAGAACACTTATCATGGCTTCAAAGGTTGACCTTAAATAGGATTAAACTGTTGTCAGAATCAAAATTTTGTTGCCTGTTCCCACCAGAACAGTGAGAATGATCTGAATGATGTTGTTCTTACCGGGTGGAAAAGAGGATTTTGGCCCAGTGAATTAACCTTCTTGGAGTTGTAAAGGCATTTTATTGAAAAAAATCATAAGAGGGTAAACTCTCAAAATGTTTGGACTATTTATTTTATGTTTATATTGTAGAGTTCCTTACCATTTGCATTTTTATCTGTTTGCCAATTCATAAGTGATGCCAAAGCATAGTTTGACATTATCTTGAGCCAAGAAATCTCCTTAGACATACCCCAGTAAGTACCAATATAAAGAATAATAATGTCTGTGATTCATTGGAATCTGCTAAATGCCAACTTCTAATAACTGCATTTTAATCAATTCGATATGTTAAAAATGGTGTCAGGAGTAATTAACTGGTTCTTTTTTAGGTCAATGTCTCATTAAAAGAAATCAGAACAAAACAAAAGCATTAATCTGACAAAATTTGATGTGCATATATCTACAGTATCAACATCCAACATTGAATAATAAACTTCTGAAGCTCAAGTTTAGACTAAGAACTGAACAAAATCTTAAATCCTTTATTTTGCTCCAGTGTGGCCCAAAAAAAAGTGCTCTAAAAGTGACTAATTACCAAACTCTGAACATATTATAGATATCATTTTAAACAGTATCCCCATATTTTTTTATGAATCAAAGCTACACATTCTTTTATTCCAAGAATTTATGCTCCTTCGTCAATCCTGCTTCAAATGATCACACTTTATACAGTGGTTTCCATCAGTACCAATTCAACCAACTTAATATATGCTACATTCTGCTACAGAAAAGTTCAGTTGGGAACTTCCATTACCATCTTACCAACATCACCTGAAGATTGCAATCTAATTCCCTACTTTGTCTTCATCTTTATTCTGTAATCTCCAGCCAATCTGCTCATTAATCATATGCATCTCCGTAGGGTGGAACACCCACAATATTCCTATATATACCATGTGTACTAGCTTACACTCTCTCCACCACTAAACCCCCCCCCCCCCATATACCATCTCCCTTTAAGCTTGCATGGCTCTCCTTATCCAATTCCTTGTCCTCCTCATGTTCCACTCCATTAATGCCCAGCCCTCTCCAGGCTACTACCCAAGTTCTGGGATCAAGCCATTGAAATTCTTCCAAGGCTACAGTAACCTCTGGGGACCTCAGCACCAATCAGTCTCCCAAGATCAATCCTCTGTAACAATCTGGCTTGATAGAAGCTCAGGTCTCATGCTGCTGCCATTGTTCCTAAATGACCAGTCTCTCTTTCGATCTGGCAAATGCTCTTTCTGCTAAACTAAGAATGGAAGAATCTGTGTAGGAAGTGGATTCAAGTCGACCCGCCCATACCGAAACGGCTACTTCGGAGCTTCGATCAAGCTCCAACGTGGCTACACCGCCGGAGTGAATACAGCTTTCTACGTATGTCAGAGCAATCACTTTCTTCTACATTCGATCCATCAACGCATCCGCTTGAACTCATGCATCGGTGACTCTACTTGTAGCTGTCGAACGATCAAGCTCACCCGGGGTTCCATGACGAGGTGGATATCGAGTTCCTGGGCACGATCCCCGGTAAGCCATACACTCTGCAGACCAATGTGTATGTCAGGGGAAGCGGCGACGGCCGGATCATTGGCAGGGAGATGAGGTTCCACCTCTGGTTCGACCCCGCGGCTGACTTCCACCACTATGGCATTCTCTGGAACCCTGAAGAGATCATGTAAGACTTGTTTAGTTCTGCCAGAGCTCATTCAGCTACTGAACATCCATATCTTCATCCACCATGTGTGCAGCTTCTTTGTCGATGATGTGCCGATAAGGAGGTACGCGAGGAAGGTGGAAGCAACGTTCCCTGATCGGCCAATGTGGGTGTACGGCTCCATTTGGGATGCATCATCCTGGGCAACAGAGAACGGCAAGTACAAGGCCGACTACAGGTACCAGCCCTTCGTCTCAAGGTTCACCGGCTTCAAGATAAGAGGGTGCTCGGCCTTCGCGCCGGCCGGGTGCCGGCCGGTGCCGTCCTCCCCGTCCGGCTACGGCCTCAGCCCTCAGCAGCGCGCAGCGATGCAGTGGGTTCAGAGAAACCACCTGGTCTACAACTACTGCAAGGATTACAGCAGGGATCACTCCCTCACTCCCGAGTGTTGATGAGGCTGGTGAGCTTTGTGAGCTCTTGGCAGCTGCCCTGCTACTGTACTGTGTGTTGGTAGTTTGAGGCGTTTGTGCATGTCTTTCACTTTCTTTACATGATGAAAGAGTGGGAATGTATTGAGGTATTGCTCTCTGTAACACTGTAAGAGGTCTGCAAGTGGAATGATCCATTTTGTTTCCTGCACAGCTCTCCATTGTTCTTTGTTTATGCAGAATTTATTCTGAATATTTTTCTTCGAAAAGAAAATTTATATCGAGATAAGACTAAACTGAATGATAACTCTTCCGCGAATTAATTATCATTTTGATACCATTTATTATGATCCGATTAGATACTTAGACTTTTCATCCTGTCTAATATCATATAAATTCTTTCATGATCTTCATCGCGTTCTATATTATGTGAGTTATAATATCAGTTATCATAATATTCATTAATTTATTAAGATTAAAACATTATCATGGTCTCAAAATATAAAATTAATAATAATATATTCATCAAGTTCTTATAAGCTATTTCGAATAGTTTGCCAATTAATCAGCTTCAAGTGACAGTATTGGGTTTGCTTTGGTTTTTATTATAAAGATCTTTCATGATGAGTTCTATTAGATTTTAGGATATGACTAATACTTTTTGCCAACCAAATTTGACTATGCTAAGTTGTTCCCACATATTTTGGTCTCATGCATGGTTTAGCTTTGGCTTCAGAGCAAGTATAAACAGGAATCTTCTTGAATTAAGATGGTAAGAGACTGACTTTGGTGACCCCAAATCTAATGAGCAGTGTGAAGGATAACAGATTCCACATAGCAGCACCAGTTGAATGTTGTACAATCACATTTGCTTTCTGATGAAAAGAACTTAGAGAAATGTTCTGTCAATGTTCATCTTGATTGAGCAATGCTATCACTAAAAGCTCAAATGTGTTGTGGAACATTTTTGGTTATAGGCAACTTAAGCAAACAAGTTGAGCAGACCCAAACTTCACACTCTTCAAGTCATTTTTGGGTTTTAAATGTTGGGCCTATTGATCTCAAATTTTGTCATGAAGGAGATGATAGCTTAATTAGTGGGATAATTATACAATAAATAGCTAGTAGACTATCTATTTTATAGCATTTGAGATGGATTTTATCTGAATTGGATTTGAAATATATGCTGATAGCACTTTATTGAGTTTGAAAATAAATACTGATATCATTGTCTATTTAAGTTGGGTTAGGATATTTGTTAATCAAGTTTGGATGAGTATAATGGAAAAATAATAATTATTTAGTTCGAACTTAGAGATAAATATAAGATCTTACGAAGATTTGAGAAGATAATATGAGAGAGTCTTTACCGACTAAATTAAAATACAATGAGCAAAATTCAAACCACTCAGAGATATAGAAAT